GCATGAAAGATTTTGTCCATTTGACTCTTCATTGAAAGTGTTGTTTTCTGCTATACTAAAACGAATGGGTTGTGCTTTTTGTTGTTGTTAACTGCATTCAAGACAATTGAGTTACGGCAACCAGACTGCCAAGTCACCCTGTTATCAACAGCTTTGCTTAGGTCTTGCAAAGTTAGAGCCATGGCTGCTTTGATGGAGTCTATCCACCTGTAACGTGGCCTTCCTCTTTTCTTACTGCCGTTCCCCTTACTAACCATTATTGCCTTTTTCAATCAGTCTTCTCTTCTCATGACATATCCAAAGTATAACAGTATAATGGTTATGGCAAAATATTCCTCAAGCCTTTGAGAATAAATGGTCACCAAGAGGATATGACCATCAAATGGCCACTTCCAACAGGACAAGATCCAAAAAAGAATCACCATTACAATTCCTTTCTATGATTTATTTTATAAGAAGGGAGAAAGATGTACTATGTTCATGCTTAACAGCTGCCAAGATGTGGGTGTATTTGGGGTTGTCAGTGGAAAAGGAAATAAAGCTAGTCTTCCACATATTCAGAAGCACTTTTGTTATTACTTGAAATGTTCTACTGATGAAACTTGGCAATGATCACAGGTTAAGCCATGTTGAGTTGTCTCTCCAATCAATCTTTGTCCCTTTTCCCTTTAAAAGGTCAGGAAAATGGATTCAAGAAGTATTCTTGTGTTGCTTTTCTTGTTGATGAAGACTTCTTGTCAGCCCTGGAGGACATCTGGAATACCAGACAGGTGAGTCACAGATTTAGGGAGGGAACATGAGGAATCCTCCCCTCTTCCCTTTAATTATGTGGTATTTTCAAAGTTGTAATCTCTCCCCTACATATTTTCTGTCACAGGAGACAACCCCCTCCTGTTGCCTCCTTTCTGGAACAGCTCCTGAAGATCCATGGAAGAGCAAATAATGGAGGAATCCCTCAGGAGCCTGGACTAGAGGCAGATGAAAGACCTATCGGGTGGCAACAGCTGGAAGAAGCAAGAAACCAACCAAATCTATTTAGGAGGCAAGTGTCATTATGGGAGAGGAGGGTGCAGTGGTATTGCAGAGTTTGGCAGGCTACTGGCATTATTCATAATTTGGAAATAATTTTGGACGACAGTTTTCAAAATCTCCCTACAGCCAGCACAGAAGCTGTAGACTCCAAATATATATATATTAACCGACATTTCCATCCCGTCTTAGCCAGTAGGTTTCTCTTAACTTCCACAGGAACCAGGAATCCTACCTTAAGTCTTTCCCTTTTCCAACCAACCCTACATTGCCTACAGAGAGCCAGTGGCATAGTGGTTTGTGTTGGATCACAAATCTGGAGACCAGGGTTCAATTTCCATGAAATCCACTGGCTGACCTTGGGCAAGTCACATACTCTCAGCCTCAGAGGAAGGCAATGGCAAACTTCCTCTGAAATCTTGCCGGAAAAAAACCCATGATAGGATCTACTTAGGGTCACCATAAGTCAGAAACTACTTGAAGGCACACAACAACAAACATTCCCTACAAGCCACAAGAACAGGACTGGACAGCTTTACTTGGGGCACTCCAGATGTGGTTGGACTGCAACTCTCATCATCCTTTTCCATTGACCATGGTGTCTGAGGTTGATGGGAGTTGCAGTACAACAAAATCTAAGTGGGCCCCACAGTTTAAATGCTCTACTGATGAACCTTGGCAATGATCACAGGTTATCTACTTTTAGAGTCATGTCTTCCAGGGCATCAGACCTCAGTCCTTCCCAGAGAAGCCAGGAGTCCAGTCTCCCTCCTGGTTTCCTGAGTTTTGAACTAATCTATCTTCTGCAACAGTAGGTCTTTTAGAATGGAGTGGGCATCTTGTGGCTCTGCAGATGTTTCTGGACTTCAGCTCCCAACAGTCTTAAACACCATACTTAATGGTGAGGAATTATGGGAATTGAGGTCTACAAATTGCACACTTCTAATCTAGAGTATGGAATGCAATTTAGCTTGAGTTGCATTTTGTAAAACCATCTTGGAGCATACTTCAGATTTTGTTGAACTGCATCTCTTATCACCACTGATTACTGGTCATGTTGGCTGGAGCTAGAGTTCAACAATGTCTGGAGAGCCGCAGGTACCCAAGCCCTTTCTTTTAGATGAGGGCCTGTGGAACACCAAACTAGCTAGAAGTGTATTTAAACCATTCAACACCAGTTTCTATCAGGAAAAATGCTTCCTGCAGTCTATTGCCTGTCCTCTTCAGTCCTCCTAGTCTTTCCCTTTGCTGCTCATAATTAATCTCCAAAAGACAATAACTTTTGCAGGTTATTTTTTTTCCTAACAGGATGAGAAGGTGATTAATTAGGATGTTTCCTGATAAATGTTAAAGTTTTTATACTATTCCTGTTCCACATGCTTGCATTGCAACCGAACCCAGACAATCATGTACTGAAGTATAAGGCAGCTTGGTAAAAGACAGCTTCCTATGAAAAGCTTGGAAAAGTTATTCTTTTGGACTACAAGGATTCCCATAGCTCTGTTCTTATGGTCCTGTATCCCAATTATTCCTATGTTTCTGATAACTATACTACTGTTTTTGGTAGTTAATTCCCCCTCCCCTGAAGTTAGCTTTCTGTAGTTCTTTTGCATTTAGTCACTCCAGACCTGTTTGGGAGAGGGACAAAGCAATGTCTTGCCAGTGCTAAAACCCTCTCTTGGACTCAGCTGCAGACTAGATAGTTCTTAAAGTATTAGCTCCCACTTTCTCCCAAATATATGCAGGAGATGCTTTTTCTTGTATTCCTATTTCAGATTTCAAATTTTCTTACCATCTTTTTCTTAAAACCCTCAGCTTTTTCCCTGGGCACCGAGTTCCCCGGCAGCTAATGGCTTCACCTCCCATGCGAGGATGCCACCTTGGCACCTGTCAGATCCAGAACCTTGCCAATCTACTATACCGTTATGGAGGCAACAACCAGAAAGATGAATCCCACAAGAACAACAAGGGTACAACAGATCCGATGGGCTACGGGCGCAGGAAACGCCGGGCAGCTAGGCATGGTGTGCCCACTCTCACTTAAGAGATCCTGTGTTGACAAGGAAAAGATGGGTACAGAATCAAGCTCTGGTCACCTGCAAAAATAAGGAGAACAGGTTGGGTGGCTTCCAACACACTTAGGAAGCTCTGCTCCAGAAACAGCAACAGCAGCCTACAGGGATCTTTTTGGGGGCAAGTATGGCCATTATGTGAGACTTGAGATGACAGAGGTTTTTCTTCTACCTCCATGTTCCAGGGATGCAGGCTTCAAAATGGCTAACAGCTATTAGTGTGATATTCACCCTCTGTTCTGTACTGCCTCCTGTTGTTCTTATACATGAAGTGATGTGTGCATCACTTAGACCAAGTACTTGCCCTACATTAGGGCAACAGCACACTTAACAGAATTCAGAACGAAGATGCTAGAAAAATCCAAGGAAAAGGTGGTGCTGAATCACCAGGAAGACCTGGAATCGTCACAGCATTGTGGCGTAGCACTTATGCCAAAGAGAAATTGACTTTACCCACTCATGCAATTGTGGGTAGGGTGGGTGAGTGGCATGGAATCAAAAGAGTCCTAAGGGATTCCTGGCTTGTGTGATCTTTCGTGCATAGGATTTGTTCTGAGACAAGAGTGAAAGTAAAGAGGGTTTTTCCCCCCAAACCTGGAATCTTGAATGGTTTATTTGGTGCTTTGTCTCTACGTATATTTTTGCAAAGGCGGATGAAAAGAGCAGTGGGAATGAATGTCTTTTGAGCTCCATTATGGCTTTATTTATTTAAATATTTATGTGCCCTCCACATATTCAAATATTTCAGGATGGCATAGAATAAAATCAATTTAACCAATTTAAAACAATTTAAAAATATGAAGCAGTAAAATAATTTACAGTCTAAAAAACATATTTAACTATATTAAACCAGTGTTAAAATCATGGGCATGTACAAATGAATGACATAATTAGATTCCAAATCAAAAGCCATCTTTCATCTTGGTGCTGAAATGAAATGCTATTGGCACTTGGGCCTCTAATGGGAGAGCATGCATAACTGGGGTGCTACAACAGAGAAGGCCCTTTTGTCCCCATTTCTGGGACATAAAGGAAGGGCCCTCCAGCAAATTTCATTTCTTGTGCAAGGGTGTATAAGAAGAGGTGATCTCCCAAATGATACTGAGGTCCCAAACTGTTGAGGGCATCACAAGTTATCATCAGCATAAATTTCAATTTTGTCTGGAAGAGAATTGAAAGCTGGCACAATTTATTTAAAACCAGTTTTATATGGTTTCCATATGGAGTTACTAGCCAGTGTGGCATAGTGGTTTGAGCATTGGATTACGACTCTGGAGACCAGGGTTCGATTCCCCATTTGGCCATGAAACTCACTGGGTGACCAGCAATCACATGCTATTAGCCTAAAGAGAAGGCCATGGAAAATCTCCTCTGAACAACTCTTGCCAAAAAAATCCATGATGGGTTTGCCTTATGGTTGCCATAAGTTGGAAACAACCTGAGCATACTCAACAACAACAACAAGCAACTTCCACGTCATCTTCAAGAGTGGCCCATATAAAGCGAATTGAAGTAGTCTAATTGGGGAGCTACTAGATTATGGACTCCTTTGGCTAGGGGGGGTTGCAGACTGCCAGAAATAGTGCAAATTGAGTCCACTTTTAGGGTTAGGGTTAGTGATAGGGAATCATGGGAATTGTATTTTTTCTGAGACATTGAGCATTCTCTGTCAGAGAGCTCTGGTGTCACAATAAAGTACAGTTCCCATGATTCCCTAACCCTAATCCTAAAAGTGAACTCAATTTGCACTATTTCTGGCAGTCTGCAACCCCCCTAAGTTATCCTTATCTGGGCAAGGCTGCAGCTGATGGATCATTAAAGCTGGCTCTAGTGACACTAAGCCATGAATTACATTTGGACCTCCCGTGACCGAGCTAGATCTTGCAGTATTCCCCATCTATCTACCTGTTCCCTCAGGGATAACGAAACCCCATCCAGGCTAGGTCATTTATGCAATTCATGAGAACCAGCAATGCAGAGTTTCAGTTTATTGGCTCTCATCCATCTTAGAGAACTTGGATCTCTTGCTGGGGTTCATTATACTTTTCTAGAAGGAGCCAACATAGCCCCATTGCTGTTACAGTGACTGGGAAGAGATGAAAATATACAATTTCACAGGTATACTATTATATTATTATGCAATTCTTAATGAGATACTGCAACTTGATGAGACTCCTTCCCAAGCCTTGGGAGTTCTGAACTGATGCAGAATGGAATGAGTTTTCCAGTGTTCCACTTAATTGCTGGATGCCCAAAAGGCTCTAAGCTCACACTGAGCTAATGACGGTGTTTATAAAATGCTTAAATAATATACTGGTCCTGTTGAAGATAATAATCAAAATATTCTCCTGTGTGATATTTTGTTACTCAACAAGGGTAAAATTTACAGTCGCCCCTCGATTCCCATGGACCTGAGGTCCACGGTTTTGAATATTTATGGAAGGGCGACCTCCATTAAAATCACTGGGGTGCACCCCCACAGGTGCAGGCCTGCAAGTACCCATGAAGACGTGCCCCATTCAAACCCATGGGGCTTGAATATTGGCAAGTCTCCATTTCTGGGGGGGGGGCGGTCCGGAACGGATCCCAGCAAAAACGGAGGGGGCCGACTGTATTTTCACATTTATTGTTAAACATTTAAATCATTGGCTTTATTTTTAAATTACATTTTACTTCTATTCTTACACCAAGGATGTTGGAATTGACTATGTGGTTCATCCTTCCCCTCTTCATCATCACCACAGTTGCTAGGGCTACATGAGATTTGGGTTGCATCCACATAGGAGATATAATCTGGTTTGACACCACTTTAAGGCCATGGCTCATTGTGATGGAATTCTGGGAACTGCAGTTTGTTGCAGCACCAACAAACTACAATTCCCATGACTAGATGGGGATTTCAACCTTAATCACCGCAATTCTAGCCTGTCACTCTAACCTTTGCATATACATATGCAGAAAAAATTATGCCTGGCTCCAAATTCTCACAAAAGAAAGGAACACTTTGCAGGGAGTTAGACCAATAGAACTATGAACCACAACTCTTGGTTTCCTGAGGAAGTGAGTATGGTCATTAAGTTAGTTGTAACATGTTATTGACCTACTTTGCAAATGAAAAGCAATCTTTGAGGTCACGAGGTATCCAGGTGACACTTCATCCTCTTTTGCATTCTCATTTTAGAAATGAATAGGGCCCTGCTGGCATACCCTTCAATATTTCACACAAAAATAGGGACAAACTTGCAATACCTATCTCCATGCCATGGATGCTGCTCCCATTATAATTACATTTTGCTGCAGGTTCCGTCATTCCTTGTGTTGCACAGAGAGGCAGGATAAAAATAAACTTATTTTATTTTATTTTATTCCTGCTATGGGATATGTTCACCTGTTCCAAAATAGACTGTCTTCTACTTTAAAAAAATAGTAAAGCAAACATAAGTTAATTTAGAATGGGGAAACTTTATAAATAAACATTATTATTTTTGTTCTTCTTGTTGTTGTTATATTACCCCAGTCCAGATGTTGTGGATTTTGGCTCCCTTAGACCCTTGCCATTGGCCTTGCTAGGTGGCACTGATAGGACTTGAAGTCCAAAACATCTGGAGAGCCAAAATATTTGGATAGGTTCCTTGACACTAGATTAAAAGAATAGTTGAAAACACAAAACATCCCATAGTCACTGGATGAAAGGAATAGTCACTGGATGAAAGGAATAGTTGAAAACACAAATCATCCTTTACAGCTGGTGTTGCATAGTGGCTGTGCAACAAATGTGGACCTCTCCAGTTTAATATCAACTCTACTTCCCATGAAGTAGTCTTCAAGTCATTCATTCTCTCTTACCCTCAGTCGTCTCCCATTCCATAATATGGGGAGAATAATAACATTGATCTACCTTACAGGGTTGTGGTATATTTAGAACTATAACATGCATGTGACGTACTTTGAATGACTGAAAGTTGCACAGGGTTGGCCTTACCATTAGGAAGAGTAAGAGGTGCCTCAGGCAGTGGATGCTGGAGGGGCGGAAATATACTAGGGTACAAGGCTACTGCTCTCAGGTGCAGTTGACATTGTTCCCATCACCAGCAATGACGTAAGATCCAACTGCCATTCCCACTGGCTTCTGCATGTGGAACAGAGAGATCATATTCTTTTTTTGCTGCAGGCAGCAAAATATCTCAAGGCATTCTTTTTAAAGTGTAATATTTTTATATATACATCAGCAACTTCAAGGTGAGATATTATAAAACATGCATAACATACGATATATTAGAGTTCATGCGTGAGCAAACATGGTCGGCCACTTGGGTTGCCAGATTGAAAACTGGAAAGGGCTTCTGTACCTTTAAGGGGCAAAAAAAAATTAGTTTCCACATATAAATCACCAAAAGTACCGAACAATAAAGACAAAAACATATTTATGCATATCTGCATTCCCTCGAACTGAATCATAAATGCAACCACCAACACAACACAACGACACATTGGATTAAAAAAAAACAACAACTTCCCACTTCATGTCTTTTGGTCTATGTTTAGTAAATACTTGCAATTCCACAAATTAAATATCCAAATTAATATGCACCATATAAAATTATTTCTCTTTCAAAACCTGCCAATGTTATAATTTCTTCCCTTTCTTATTTATACTTCAAAAATAGCCTCTACTCTTCCACAAAGTTATCTATAGATTTTTCTTTTAATAACATAGTTTATTTATCCATCTCGACAAATTCAAATATCTTCAAAATCGAGTCCTTTACCAATTATGTATTATTTATTTATTTGGAGTATTATTCTTTCACATCCGTGCACATAATATTCTCACTCCTATATGTTTAATAGCAATGTAGAAGAAGGCATTTCAGCAGGTGTTGCCTTGCCACATAACTAGGTAGCAAGTGACACCTACTGAAATTTCCCCTTCTAAACTATCATTAAAAGCATGGGAACTATCTCCAGTTTTCAATCTGGCAACTGCAACTCATCAGTTTCCAAAATGATGATGATGTTGTCTGCCTTCAAGTCATTTCAAAGTTATGGGGTCCCAAAGGCACAGTGGGGTCCTTTATTTAAAAAGGCCAGCATCACAATGGAGAGCAGTGTGGTGTAGTGGTTGGAACATTGGACTATATGACTCTGGAGATCCAAGTTCGATTGCCTTGTTATCCATGGAAACCCACTTGGTGACTTTGGACAAGTCACACTCTCTCAGCCTCAGAAAACCCTGTGATAAGGTTGCCTTAAGGTCGTCATAGTAGGATATGATTTGAAGGCACACAATAACAATTTAATCTTGTGTAGAAAATTGAGATTGTCCAGGCAGATGCAAGGACACAAAAGAGAAAAGCATCTACACTATAGAAATAATGCAGTTTGACACCACTGTAGCTCCTGCTAGCTATGGAATCCTGGGATAGTAGTTTTACAAGGTCTTCAGCTTTCTCTGCCGGAGAGCTCTGGAGCCACCACAAACTACAATTCCCAGGATTCCATTGCATTGGGTGAATCTGCACTGCAGAAATAATCTGGTTTGACACCACTTTAATGCCAGGTCTCAAGGCTATGGAATTCTGGGATTTGTAGTTTGCAGTGGCACCAAAGGTCTCCAACAAGGCAAATTGTCTCGTAAAACTACAATCCCCAGAATCCATCCAATAGCATTGAGCCATGACAAAGTGGTGTGAAACTCAAGGTGACCAGACATCCTCCTTGTCCAGGACATGTCCTCCATTTCAGCCTTATTATTATTATTATTAAAGCTTATTTCTAGAGCGCTGTCAGTGTACTCAGCGCTGTACAAAAGACAATCAAGAATAAAACAAATAAAACAAATAAAACCTGCCAGAGGCGTACAATCTAAGTTAAAACAATGAGCAGAAAAATAAAAGTCAAATTAAACAAAGACAATTGTCCAGGAGGAATGCCACAATGTCCACCATTTTGAGCATAACTAAGCAGCATCGACTTACATTTCTATGGGTGTTTTTAGCATTTTGTTTACATTTCTATGAGTGTTTTAGCTTGTTTTGGCCCCACAGCTGGTGTCACAACAAACTATAACTCCCAGAATCCCATAGCCTTGAGCCCTGGCAAAAACAGGATTATTTCTGAAGTTTGGGTGCCGCCCTGGAGTCATGGCAGTTAAAGCGGTGTCACATTGACGAATGAATTGACTCAAAATGGACCCACTTCAGCCAGCCAAAGGGCAAATTTAAATCGATTCTGGTCTGCATCTGGTTTACACTTGTGCGGAATCGATTTATCGAAAAAGATGTGGGGGGAAAAGCATCAAAA